GCCAACGCATGCTCCTTTATAAATTTACAGTTGGGGTCAACACGACTGTTCTACAGAAACCAGCTCATTTACCAACAAGCTGTCAACAGTTTTTCCAAAGACACATGAATCAGATACGCCAGTCCTTGAAAGAGAAAGACATAGTGGCAGCAGTGGATGTCAGATATGATACCCCAGGTAAGTTGACAAAGTAACAATTCTACAATTCAAACTAATATTTTCTGCAACAAGTGATCCAGTACGCTACACATCATAACTTTCACACTCTTTTCAGGATTTTCTGCAAGTAAAGCAACAGTCGTTTTTTGGACACAGCATCAAGAAAGATCTTTCATTTTGATGCTGGTGATTCACGAGAAGTAGACAGACACAGTCCAAGTTTGGAGAAAGATCTGGTATCAAAAGGTTTACAATTCATCCTTACCACCCAGCTTCAAGTTTCTGAAATAGTTTCTGATGCGAGTACAACAATTATCAATTTGATGGGTAGGTCATATTCAAACTCCATAGTTCCTACGCTTACGCTTATGTTTCATTACTATCCTTGAGTCAAAATGTTTCTGTCGATTTCAGCATCTGAATTCCCACAGTTTATACACAGCTTAGATACGTGGCACAAAGCAAAATCCATAGCTAAACGATTAGCAGAAACATCCAAGAAGGCAGCTAGTAAGGAGCTTATACCATGGATTAGAAAAATCATCAATCTCTTTTGGTACTGCTGTCACGTATCGAAGGGAAGTGTCGACAGACTAACACGTCGCTGGTTTGGTATACTTTACCATGTTACCAATGTGCATTCGTGGGTCACTGACAGGTAATTATGCAGATTTGTCTAGATATGAAGACAAAAGAGGAACCCCTGAAGATGAAAGTATGACCAAAAACATGCACCAAAGGACTTGAAATGCTATCAAAATGATCTAATAGCCAGTCAATGTAAGATTATTAAAAAGATCTGGGAGATACTTCCACTTTTCAGCAAAAATTTCACTATCATTATTAAGTTCAAGTTTAGCTGTTTCTTGTAAAAATGTTTTAAAAGCCCTGATGTATGGAGTAACATTACTTGTTTTTTGATTTAAAGATGAAGAGTTTTGTGAGCAAGATAAGATGATTAATAAAATTAACCTTGAATTCCTCCATAGTATGTATAATGTCTTCTTCATAAATACCTAAATGTTTTTTTGCTGTAGATAGTTGAAGTTTAATATTATTAAAGTTTAGAATTGATTCAACAACAGTCCATATTTTTTGTGAGAATTCACAGTAGATGAAGAGGTGTTCAAAAGTTTCTAAACATGAATTACAAAAATCACACAAGTTTGAATTAACTAATTTCATTTTAAATAATTTTGTATTTGTGAAAACAATTTGGTGAAAGTACTTAAACATGAAGGATCGTTGTTTGGAGTTAATGCATGTTTTATTTATTGTTTTAAAAAGTTGTTTCATATTATTATCTGAAAGCTTTATATTCAAAATATATTCCCATTTTGTTAAACATTTTGGACTTTCAATGTCTGTCTTAAGTATTTTATCATAAATGGTCTTTGTGGTAATTTTTTTCACATTAGAATTATAAAGTGTTTTTAAGTTTGTATCTAAAAATTGAGCTAGAGTTATTTTTCCGTGATTAGAGTTTTGCAAATCTGTTAATTCCTTTTATATTTAGATCAAATTTTTCTATCTTAGTATTATAAACATCACTGATTGTCAATATATTTTTATCTATAAGGTAATCATCAAAAAGGTAATTTCCATTCAAAGTACAATTTACGTTATTCCAAAAAATTTGTTTGTCAAGAGATGTTATGTTATCGATGAACTTTGTATAAATTTCGTACCAGTTTTCATATAGTTTAGCATAGAAGGGAGTTGAGATTTTCAAACGTTTCGGGTAATTGCATATTGGAAGAATCAATTTTTTTTAAGTTTAATAACCATTCATTATGAAACGATATGGAATTAACCAAGTATTTTCTGTGGAGTAAATTATCTTTTTGATCCAGAATAAAGAGGAACATTTTAGTTGTAATTTTAAATTTATCATTTTTAGTCCTCCATTTTCATAATCAAGAGTAACTCGACTCCTTTTTAACTTATCTATACCATTCCATAAGAATTTAAAAAGTATTGATTCAATTTGCTTAACGAAATTATTTGAGTAATATAAAACTGACGTTGGATATAAGATTTTTGGAATTGCAAAAGTTTTAATGATTTGAATTCTACCAATTAAACATAGTTTATGACGTTTCCATACATTAAGTAATTTCTCTATGTCTGGAATAAGTCTTGTTAGGTTTTCTTGCTGCATTAATTCATCATCTAGAGAGAAAACAATACCTAAAATTTTGATTGACTTTTGACAAATATTAATTCCTAAGTGAGCTAATTTTTTGAAATCAGTGTTATTGGTATTTAGGTTCAAAGCTTCTGTTTTTTGGATGTTAATTGTTAATCCAGATACTTGACTGAAAAGTTTCAGTACTTCAAATAAGTGTCTATCTTTTTTTTGATATAACTCTAACGATGTAAGTTTGTATACATGATATTGCATTGTAGTTGTATATGTTTCCATCTTTGATTATTCAGGTGCAGACATAGAGAAAATGAAATAATTGACGACCCATCAAGATCGTGGTTGAACAAATCAAGTACCGCGTATAAAAATCTAAGGTATGCTACAGTAAAATATATCCTTATATATTCATTGATCTCCCTTGAATTTTTATCACTATAAGATATATGAAAAACTTCAAAATATTTACAGATCTATTATCACAGATAAATATTTCCTGGGAAACCTGAAATACTACACACGGTGCAGACAAACATGGTGCATTGAGAATTTCTACTCTCATTCCTTACTGAAATATTGTCCAAAAAGAATAGGATTTAGTTTCGATGGTTATGTGATGAGAAACCAACTAGCCATCATAGACTACAACCATCATACAGGAAGACCAGCGCTTACCAACTCACAGGACGAAGTTTGCGGAATGCCACAGTTCTCGAGGAAAACCAAGCACTGGGTAGCATATGAAAGGCTTGTATGTAAGAGTTATGACTATATACCAGGTAAATATAAATATATTATTGCTTTGTTTCTTTTATAGTTGAGTACATTTTGTATTTCCTCTTATTATTTCATTGAAATTATTTTTAGATCTTATGTCAGAATGCATGTATCATATATACCGTGCCAGAAACGAAGACTACAAAAAGGGTAAAAGGTCCCTAGAATTGGATGACATAGCACCAAATCTGTCGGGAGAGTCAAATCCGGAAACGACGTCAAATTTATTGAAAGAAATGAAACGAAGAAAAAGTGAAGGTAAACAACATTTTTATTCAGAATCGGAAAAC